TGCTTTTTTTATGCTGGGCTTGGTTTTGCTGTTGTTGTTTGTTTATTTATTTGTCTTTTGTGTATGTCATATAAAAGGGTACATGGCAGGGTATAGTAGACAAAATGTAGCTAAAGTTAAAAAGTCCATCACTAAGACAACTGAATGTCTTTGGTTGGCAGTGTTGTCATTCTATTGAATATTTTTAATATTTTTAATAAGATTACATATAGGGAGGACTAAATCTTTTAAAAACTATTGGGCATATACTAATCGATCTCTGAGAAGTTGTATTGTGCTTTTAGTAACTGTAAATTTGTGTCAAGAAAACTGTATAGTGACACCAATCAGTCATTTTCACCCAGTTCAATATCATTGAGATATTCCTTAATTCTCTTGCATTTTGTCTGTGCCATAAGGATACCTTACTTTATCATTTAGGGTTCCAACCAACATTACCGAGTATGCAGTCCCTTCCTCCAAATAGCCTACAATCTCTCAGAAGTACATATGAGTGCATCAATGTTTATGAAACAAGAAAAATATTTAAATATTTTATTTTTGCAAACACTGAGAATTGTATCATTATCTGATTTCAAATCCAATTTCTTTATTCTTCCTCTTTTATAGAGGAAGAAACAGAAAGATAGTGCATTGAGACTTGAGTCCCGGCTCACTTAAATGAGTGAGTGTATGCTATTTTTTCATTGATTCAACAAATAATTATTATGTCTATTTTATGTACCAAGTTTTGTTTTTTTTGGCTCTGAGAATACAGATGAGTAAGACCAGGCCATTTTCCTTGAGGATGTCACGTAGAAAAATAATAGTTACTAACATACAATATGAGAAATTTCATTATATAAGTATGTGCAGTGATCCATATTATATAGGCACTGTCTGAACACAGAACAGGGAAGAGCAAACAAGACTGTTTAGTCAGGAAAGGCTCTCAGTTACCAAGAATATAAAATTCCCACGTAGAAAAAATGGTACAATTTGCTCTCTTTTTTTAATTACATATTTTAACATTTCTAGAATATAATAGATTATTTGTGTAATCATGAATGAAAGTACTATTTTAACACTTTGAGCATGTGAAGGGAGGCCTAGGCATTTTTTTAAGTGCCTCTTATCTGTAATAAATCAAAACAAGTGTAGAATCATCTCATTAAGACTATGGGGAGAAGAGATGCCCCAAGCAAGGTATACTAAATGAAAATAATTTGTATAGGTTCATTTACTATTATATCACATAAAATAATATTATTGGTATCTTAAAATAATTATAGTAATTTTTGACATTATTAAGTGACTAAGTAAAAGCTTTTTAATAAAATTATGAGAAATTATTCAAATTACTGTCTCACTTTGGGAAGCTATCAATTATTTAAGATTTAAAGAGTTCTGATATTTAAATTCAATTTATTAACCAAATATATATTGAGTACCTACTATATGTCAGACACTGTTCTAAATCTTGGAAATATAGTAGTGAAAAAAAACAAATGAAAATCTATGTCCTATAGGAATATATGCTTTCTTTCTTATAGAGAGAGATAGTTCATAGATATCCACAGTGAGAACACGGCTTTAACTCTAAGTGAGATGGCAGCTCTTAGAGGATTTTGAGCAGGAAAGAGACAGGATCTGACTGAAAGGATCTTTCTGGCTCCTGTGTTAAGGCTAAACTCTGGAGGGCCAAGGTGGAACAGGGAGACCAGTTAAAAAGCTATTTCAATATAGTGTGGATAACACCAAGGTCCAGGATGCAATCCCTGTACTGGCTAGCTGCCAAAAAAAAAAAAAAACCCAAAAAAGCTTTTGCAGTATTACAGGTGAGAGAAGATGGTGGCTTAGTTCACGGTACTGGAGAAGGTATGAGAAGCAATTAGATGATAGACATTTGGACACACCTAAAAGCTGGTCATTGCTAATCCCTGAGCCTGCACTCTGTCAGTAAGCTCCATTACAAGTATCCTACTGAATAGCCATTCCTAACTAGCACTTTCTTCTAGCACCTCAAGTCCAACACTTTTTAAAAACCACATTTGAAGCTACAATTCATTGATTCTGCCACCTTTTCATTGTCCCTCCAGGCTTCAATTTCCTTCCTCATTTAGCTTAGATTCCATGGTCCCATTTAAATTCTTTGCATAGACCCTTAATTTCTATGTATCTATTTTTTGTGTATTGCTGATGTCATCCGGCAAAACCAAGAGTTTCATCAATTACCACTCTCTGCCTACTCTATGCCTGCACCCAGACAGCTGAACATTGCTGGAGAAAATCCCCCAAACATGCTTACTGCTCTCACTTTGACCATAACATAAAGGACACCCTTAGAACTTCCTGGCAATCCTACTGTATCTCCCAAGTTTGTTCACTTTCTCTGGCAGGCTGTTTCTCATCCTCAAATTGCCAGCACCTCCTCTCTCATCCTCATTATCAGCTTCCTACTTCACTGAAAAAATAATAGCAAGCAGAAAAGAGCTTCTCTGTGTTCCCACCATCCCAACTGCCCACACTCCTGAATCTGTTCTCTGCTGTCATTAAGGGTGAATTTATTTCTACCTGAGACAAACCATTCCACTTATGTACTAGATCATTCCACTCTCACCTGGTCAAGACATTGCTCTAGCAAGTGCTCCCTTTCTCTCAAACTCCCCTCTGTTTTTTTCCTTTACCCCTTCTCCCTTACAGCAATAGGACTATTGCTTATTATTATTGTTATTATTACTTAAACTCATTATAATTAGGCTTAGGTGTTCACCTCTCCCAGAAAGTGCTGCTGTCAAGCTTATCAGTGATTTCCAACTTGCTAAATCAATGATCTTTTTCAGTCCTCACTTGATTTGACTTATCAACAGCATTCAATGCAGATGATCACTCCCTCCACCTTGAAATTCTTTCTTGCCTTGGCTGCCGCAACACCTGACTGTACTGGTTTTGTTCCTACCTTGCTTAACCAACTTTCTCAGTTGTCTTTGCTGATGTCTCTCATCTTCCTAACCTCTATTGGAATTCCATAGCACTCTTTGTGCAAACTCACTTTTAGATGCTCTCATTAAGGTTTAAGATTTTAAGTATCAGTTGTATTCTGATGACCCACAAATGTATAGCTCCAGCCCTGACATCTGCCCAGACTTCTGACAAGCATGTCCAACAGCCTACCATCGTCTCCTTTTGGATGGCATCTAAAGCTTCATGTGTCCAAAAGTCAAAGTTCTGATTTTCTCCCCTAAATGTGCTCTTTTTGAATTTTTCCTTAATAAATGGCATTACTAAACTCTTAGATCAATAATTTTATTTGTTGTTGTTGTTCTTTGTTTTATTTTCTGGCTGGCTGGTTAAGGGGATCCAAACCCTTGATCTTCGTACCTTGGTGTTATCAGCACCGTGCTCTAATCTACTGAGCTAACCCACTAGCCCTCAGATCAATGATTTTGAAGTCATCCTTAATTCTTCTTTTTCTCTCATGCCCTAGATCCAATCTGTAAACAAACCAGACCAGTTTTACCTTCAAGAACTGACCACTTCTTAAAACATATGCTAGCATGCTACTGTGCCTGGACTATTATAATAATTTTATCCTTTGAAACTTACTTTGATTTTTAGGAACATCTCCAAGTCATAATAAGTTTCATGACTATGGTTTGTAATAAAAATCTGTCTGACTCACATTTAGTCAAAAGTAAAATGTGAATATAAAATAGGAAATGGTTTCCTTGAGTGATTTATAAATGACCATGAAAGCCAATTCTAAAATAATAGTTACAAAAATGATTTGCTCTAGAGCAACATTAGTAGAATGAATGTTTAACTTACCAAACTGTCACTTACAAGGATAACATTCATTCGGTTTTATAGCTTCTGGATTGTTTAAATTTTATCTCCATTCTTTGTAATCATAACTTGTATTAAAATCTCATGAATAACAGGAAGACTTATTGCTCTGTAATGTTGATAAAATGCTGGCTCTGGAGCCATGCGGCCTGAGTTCACTACTGGCTCTACCATTTTCTAGGTATGTTGCCACAGACAAGTCCCTTACACACTCTGTGCCTCAGTTTCCTCACCTGTAAAATGGTGATAATAAGAGTGCCTACTCAGGATTTCTTAGTAGGATCAAATAAGATCATATGCTTAAAGTGCTGATTATAGTGCCTGGCGTAGAGTAAGAAGCAGGCACTGTTCTAGGAGTGAAAAAACTATGTGGCAGGGTCTGTGTTACTGGAAGCTGGTGGGGAACTTGAGGCATAAACAGAACATTTGAAAGTTTAAAGACATTGTAAGGTTTCAGGAATTGTTTAAGAAAATCATAAAACAGACATCTGAGGGCATTGTGTGAATTCACCTCATTTCATGAAGTGAAAGAACTGGCCAACAGATGCCATAGACATTCAAATGAGAGAGAAACATCACTTTTACCAACAGCAGTTTAAAATAATTTATGGTGAAATTTTTGTTTTTTAAATATTCAGTTTCAATTACAATAAAACTGACATCTACACCCATAAACCACCAATTTTCACATACTAAGATGCAGAAGCATAAGACTCTTGTACAAACTACTTATGAAGAGCTTTGATCAGATGCTGTAAGAGAAAACCCTTCTGAAATACAGATACCTATATATGTGTATATAAGAAGTTATCATTTATATTGTTTTCACTACCCACTGATCTAGTGCACTGTTAATCAAGTTGCTTTATATGTACATGTAGTTTAAATGTATTATAGGAAGTATCAGTTATGTATCACTGAGGGCATTTCTTCTTCCAGACACAATCATACATTTCTTGAAGATATAAATCAAATCAACAAATATTAAGAGCTGATTCTGGTGATTTCATTATTTATGCCTTTCAAATGTCAACATGCTTTCCTGAAATTTAACTAATTGCCATTAACCCTACAACTGTGAAGCTATGTTACAAGTAGACAAAGTAATCTCAAAGCTTGACCCCAGGAAAGGGGAAAGAAAAAGACCTATAACTTTTATCTTTTTCCTCCTCTAGTTGGCCCGGCACAATAAACTTTTACAGCAGATGCTCAAACCAGGTCTGGATCCAGATGAGGGGGATGAAGCCTTGAAGTGTTACGCTAACCACACTGCACAGATTGAGGTAACCATCGACTGTTTCCTGAAAGGGGTCAACTGTGACAAGATATGTCTACTTTCTATTTTAGACCATTCTCATAATTATTTCCTAGAACAAAGAAAGAGAATTGAGCGATTTAAAGTAAAAAGTATATACTAAAAGATAAGTGAGGAGTGATCTATGAGAAATTGAGGTGTACATCTTTCTAAGTTGTCTTTTCTTTTTTTCTTCTACCAGAACTATATGTAATTAATAGCGTTATTAACTATATGTATCGATAGTTGTTTTTTGTTGTTTGTTTTTGTATTTTGGTCATAGAAGCAATCATTGCAGAGTAATCATGTTTTAGAGACAGGATTATTATAATAGAGGGATTCAAGAAAGGATTTCTTTTTAAAATATTTTTAAAATATTAAAATAGAGATCTCTCTGTATCTTAAGAAAATATTCGAAAGTGTAGAAAACTCAGACAGCACTAATAAGGTTTTCATACTGACAGCATAAACTCGGAATGGTTTAACAGCTTCCCTTTTTAGTATGCAGCAGTTGACTTCCCCTTCCCCATAAATGAGATATTATTCCACGGCCAGTGGCAGTTCAGGAGGTGTGGGTCAAAATGGACTTATCATTTTGTGTTGTGAGACCTGTCTGGCTGTCATTTACTAGCTATGGTATCATTTTGACACTAGTTGGCAGAGCTAATCAGGCCAAAGTGAGCAGAGTAGTTGATGCTTGTCACTCCTAATTTATATCCGTACAAGTCATCCATTTCAGCAGATATTTTTTAGTTTTCAGCCGAGTGCCTGATGGGCATCACTGCTATTCACTCTCAGGGTATTTATTTAATCACTATACCTTATTGTTTACTGTTGCCAAACCATTAGCATAATGAGCATTATTACCTTGTATCACAAAATGGGTCTCTTGCTCACATTTGTCAACATTAATAGTACCTGAGCTTCAGTGTCAGACTTGACCTTGTGGAACCCAGCAGCTGGACCAGCAGCCAAAAATATCACTCACTGCTTAGGAACTGGGAAGCTGGCAAAGTCAGGAAGTGGGAGAAATGAATACAGGTAGATCATCAAGCCACAAAGGTCCTAAACAAGTTGCCAGAAGCCAAAGTACAAAGCTAGGAGATCAGAAGAGATCAGAGAATAGCAGGTAGAACAGCAGACCAGAGACAGAGGTTTGGCTGATACCTGTGAGAAACAGGGACTGCTGTTTGAGGTTTTACTGATTCCGAGCAATGAGGTGGCTTTTAGTTGTAAATACACACCTTCAGTAAATGTTTACTGAGCCGCTTACTCTCTACTAATTCACACATATAGAAGATAATTCTGTGTAGTAAGTGTATAAACAAAGGGCCAAGGAAATGTAGAGAAAACAGTAATTAATTGTGCCTGAGGAATGTCAGGATCTATTTCACAGAGAAGGTTGCCATTAAGACTATATTAAAGATTGAGTACAAGTTTCTCTTTACTAAGGATCAGGCAGGGGATTTCAAATAGAAGAAAGTAAATGAAGAGAAGTTATGAAAGAACTCAGGAAGGAGATGACTCTTTTCATAAGATCACTCTGGTTGCTGTTCGGAGAAAGGTTTGGAACAGAGAATGGAGTAGAGAACACAGGTAGATATAAAAACAAGTGTGAGAGATGGTGGTACTGAAGATGTCTGGATGGGAGAATACATGCATGTATATATATACATGTACAGGTACAGACATGCATATACGTATATCTCTATATATTTCTGTATTTTTCTATAGAGAAATATATAGAGATATATGTATAATATATCTAATATCTCTATAATATATAGAGATAGATCGGCTGACAGGGCTCTGTTGATTTGCACATGTGAGATTAGCAAAGTGGTATGGGAAAGGATGCCCCCTGGGCTACAGGTTTGAATAAACAGACAGAAGTTGCTGTCACGTATGGGAATCCTAGGAGAGGATGATGTTTGGCAGTTAAGAGGTAGAAGATTTTGTGTTCATTCTTAGAAAAATTGAATTTGAGGTGACTTTGAGACATACAGGCGGTTGAATATAGAAGTCCGGTTTCAAAGGAGTGTGGTCTGGGCTGATGATTTCAGTTCTTCACATAGACCAATTCTCATGGTCATCCAAAACCCAGCCCATATCACCTCCTCCTTCTTCCAGGCGTTTGTTACTTTTGTCCCACTATGCTTCCACGGCAGATCGGCCATTCCGTTAGTATAATATTTATCACCGTGGAATATTGTTGGCCTCGTATATGTCACTTTTCACTACCTGAGGCAGGAACTGGTCTTGATCTTCTTTGTATTTCTAAAATTGAACATTGTGCCTAGGACATAATCACGATAATTAATATTGTGGAGAATAATAGTTTGTCTGTAACTTATGGACTTAAAGACCTTGGGAGGTAGGAAGAGTCTCAGATCTAATTTCCCATCCAAGGAAGAATTGCCCCATAATGATCTGCTTCCACTTTAAATTCTTCCTGTGATAGAGATCTCATGATTTCAGGAAGAAACTGATACAATCTTGAACTCTAGTAATAAAAATTTTTTTTTTTTAATAAAGAGTTTAGCTCACTTTTATGTTTACCTACTGTTCACGACATTAGCTCCCCTCTCAACATAATTGCTTGGCTCTAACATTTGAAGAATTGTTATGATTACTAAACTACAGGCTCTTATAGTTTGTGATTCATGTTGTTTTTTAACTTTGAATTCTCCAAAGCTCCTCACCTAAGGACTGAATAAGCAATTGTTGAATCAATCTGTTTAAAAAATTATCCATTTTTGGCTTTTTACAGTTAACGCATTCCCATTTCCTTCAATAATCCCTCCAGTTTTCCAATGCCCTTTGTAGAATGCTCCAACCAGAATCAAACATACCATTTCATAAAGAGACTGAATACCATGGGTTACAATAATCAAGACATTATTTCCTTAATGAACCCGAGATTTTTTTAACCACTTATAGAAAGATCTTTATTGAATCATAGTTTAATGTTTTCCCACTTCTTTTACACAGAGTCAATAAAGAAATGCCAGACAATTCTTTCTTCTATAAAACCAAAGTTACAAATGGTCTCCTTGTACCACCGAGAAGGAGCTTTATTCAAACATCTCATGATCAATACTGCTTGAGTGGGTGGGTGATAGGAGTACCCAAGGTATTTTCTTTTTAAATATTTGACTCTGTTGGATTAAGTAAACCTTGTTTTTCATATGGTTCATATCAAATATGTCCAATTATATTGTACAATTGATTTTGTTTTAGCCTATGTGCAGGAATTTTTATTTACCACTACTAAATTTAATTGTTTGCTTTATGACAGTATTCTAGTATGTAGTTTGAATATATAGCATATCATTTAAGAATACCGAACTGATAATTATTTCAACAATAAAAATATTTTATTCTCTTATGGGAAGTGTGGAGGTACCAGCAGTTCTATGATTGATTCAAGGGCTGAATGATGTCTTCGAACATGCAGGCCTTTTCCATCTTTCTGCTAGGTTTCTTATCATGTTGACACTGCATCACCTCATGTTTGTAAGATGGCTGCTAACGTTTCAAGCATCACACCCTTATGCTATTTTTTTGTCCTAAGAAAGAAGAAAGAGGGTACAGGCAAAAACGAACTCTTGTTTTTGTGTATCTGCTTTTTTGCTATTATTATTTTGTTCGTCTCATGTGGCTCTCTGCCTTTAACAGGAAGCAAAATCTTTCCTGGAAGCCCCTCCAAGAGATTTCACTTTAAGCCTCATTTTCCAGAACTAGATCAGTTGCCCATGACCACTCTAGTCAATAGCAGAGGGAAATAGAATTACTCTTCCAAGTTAGACTAATCCTTATTAATTCCCGAGGACTGAGCACAGCATATAAGTACGAACCTTGAAATATAGGCTGTATAACCTTTGTTGCATAATGAAGCTGTATGAAAATATGGAGCCTCTTCTTTCTTTTTTTTTTTTTTTTTTTTTTTTTTTTTGGTTGGCTAAGGTTAAAAGGGCAGAAATATCAAAAGGGAGGTTCAAAATAATGAATATATTTTTATGGGTATATGCTTAAACATGTATTGCTATGAATTAGAGAACATTTTAATGATATAAAGCACCTTTCTCTATAGAACTCAGGACACAACATTGAATAAGTCATTTGTTACCCAACCGTCCTTTTTAGGAAGAACAGACTAAGAACAAAATACATATATACTAAATGTTGTGTTTAGTGCTTCCCAGCTAATCACTTGCTCATTAAGACCATCTCAGTTCTCTGATGTAGTTCACAAAAATAAAATGAGTGTCAAAAATTTAATGCTAATGCAAAAAGAATGAAAGATTTTAGGTTTTGTTATTTATGACATAGTGTTTATGATACATTAGTCAGTTAATTTCTCTTATTTAAAGAGAAACATGCAAAGTAGGGCAAGTAAAGGACTATTTTAGATATTTCAAGGTGGCATATTTTTTCATAATTGAGTTAATAAAATATTATTAATAAACTCATGCTAAAAAACAATAGTCTAAGACCAAAGTGTCTAAAACGCTAAAAACAAGTGCAAATTAATGTTTACAGATTGTTCGACATGATAGGACTATGGAACAAATAGTTTTTCCTGTCCCCAATATATGTGAATACCTCACTCGAGAATCCAAGTGCCGTGTGTTCAATACAACTGAGAGGGATGAACAAGGAAGTAAGGTGAATGACTTTTTCCAGCAAACAGAAGATCTCTACAATGAAATGAAGTGGCAGAAGAAAATTAGGAGTAAGTACAATAAACTGTAATGGGGAGTTTTGTGCATAATAGTGCATAATGGTAGATAAGTTGGTACTTTGAGACACATGATGGCAATTCATTTAAATTTTTTAATTTCTTGCCAGTCTGATGTTACTGAAATCACTTACAGGCTTAAGAGTGTGAGCTTGGTCTACAACTGGAGCCTGCACCTGCAGCTTCATGAAAACAGAAAGCCCTGACTAATTAGGTTGTCTTTTAGGATAGATCTGATGATCCCATTAAAAAAAAAAAAAAACTATGAAATTCAAGGTTGCAGCTGTATGTTTCAACTGCTGAACAGCTGCAAGTTTGAAGTCTGTGAATAGGTCATGACTGGCTTTAACAAAATCAGTGAATAGGATGGAGAGACATCGGCCCCAGCGTGCTCTTGCTCTATTGTCTTATGATCGAGTAGCTTGTTTAATGGCTTTCTGAGAGTCATTCTTCCTTTTAACATATCTTTAACTCCCCCCCCAAATCAAACAAGCTAAACATTTTGTGATGCTTGTATTCAAACAGAGCAATGTTATAATTTTACAGTTAAAAATCAACATAATGCAGTTCCCATTACTTTACATCTCAGCTCTCAAGTCTATTTGAAAACACTAAATTTTAAAATTAAAAAATTTTTAAATTTTAGATAAACTTTAGTTTGTTTTTCCAGGTAAGGGCTATTATGAGTTTTTAACAAAAATTGATAGAGAGAAACTCCTGATTAGGTCTTTCCTGATTAGGTCTTTCCTGTCTTCTGGAGAAGTTAAGCGGTCATACATTTTCAATACTTCTATTCAACAGTGTTTTATCATTTTAGTTTTCTAGGAACTTTAGTGGATATGATTTATGAATTAGAGCAGAGCTTGAGAAACACCATGTTTGGATATAAGATTGTGGCATGCATTTTCAGGATTTCTTAGAAGAATGTTTTAAAAAATCAAGAAAGAAATTATTCTCTCTTAGCATTTTATCATATAGAGCCATATGGAATTCAGTGAAAATTTTGTGCCCAAAATATATATGAAGAATCAGTAATTTTATATGGAACATTTGGAAAACATATATTTTCTCCTGGACAAAAAAGTAAATTGAATATGAACTAGTAGTATGGGGTCTGTGTGGGGTTTTTTTAAATAAATATTTTGTCATTTATCAAAAAATAAATCTTAAAATAATTTCTAATTATTAGAAATACATAAGTTAGAAATTAGCTTATTATGAGGTTAATAAGCAGCTTACGAGATTATAGGCAGAATCTAATTCATTTGTGGATGTATAATAAGGATTTGTTATTACAGATATACATATTAACATCTTTTAATTTTATATTAATATTCAGCTTTTAAGAATGAGGACTCTCAATTCAGGAATGATGGACATGCAGAGATATATAATTTATGATCCATTAGTCAATTAAATACCATAGGTAATCATAGCCTATTTCTGTGTTGGAATGTTTCATTACAAGAGAAGGAAAACAGGAGGTATTGAACAGGTAGTGCAGTTTGTATGTCAGCAGCAGACTCTAGATTGAGGTTCACAGGACACATCTGAAAAGTTTATAATTTCTACTTGAAAATCAGTGTGTCTTTGCCCCTCACGTAACTCCATATTTTAATCCTGGTGTTAAGATATTAAAAGTTAGAGAATGGACAAGACCTGAAGGAGCCATGTGAGTGCCCATGGCAGGTTAATAAAATTGGCCCCCATTTAAACTTTTATGTGTTACATGTATCCACTCAGTTATAGGAGAGCTGGAAAGAGCTGGTTTTCAGTTAATGCAAACTGTATTCAGTAGATGCATTTATTATTTCATTTCTGATGACAAACATGGAGTTCTCTTTTTGAAAATATTCAGCTAAGTCTCTCTCACTTATTGGTGGTTCTTTTTGTAGCTTCATTTTTTTTCTGCTGTTTCAAACCCAGCAAGATCTTAGGAAGCATTAAGTTTTAAAACGTAGATAATATAAATCACTGGTTCCCAGTAAGTACTATTATGTCAGACTATTAAGTTTCAGCGTTTCAGGTAACTGCGACTGTCATTGGAATTTTTGTTAGAGATATACCTGTGCTAAGGGTTTTGGTTTTTATTTGACTTCAAGGCATGGTATGGGAAACCGATTTATCAATATTAGCAAATTGTACAGCAACACATACCATTTCATTAAAAGGGGCCCCAGGCAGCTTCTAACCTGCATTCTCTCTAATCTGCTCCGGATGTCGATTAGAAAGAGTTATGACAGAATCACCTTTTGTGACCACCTTTATCGATTGCAGAATTACTTACCTTTCCACAATAGTCGAGGTGTAAACTGGCTAAAGAATGAAAGAAGGAATTAAATAGAAAACTCCCTTATGGTACTGATTACTTTTAATAAACTTTCTAAAGTGTCATATTAAATGTTTATTTAAATACGATTTTGTAATAGTTTACAAAAATGCGCATAATAAGATATTTCAGTGAGGCTTATGTGTTGGAACCAACATTTAATTTTCTGTTCTGTCCCGTTACGCTTCTTGCTTCCTAGATAACCCTGCCCTGTTCTGGTTCTCAAGGCACATCTCTCTGTGGGGGAGCATTTCCTTCAACCTGGCTGTGTTCATCAACTTAGCTGTTGCTCTCTTCTACCCATTTGGGGATGATGGAGATGAAGGCAAGTGCTCGTCTTTCCTTAAATGATAAATATTTTAGAGTTCTAAAAGTAATGCTTGAAATTTATTTCTTACCTATTAAGAGCTTCAAAATAAAAGTAATTTAATTCTTGTTAAATAGATTTCTCTATATTCATTGGAAGTAGAGTATGATAGAGAGTAGATCAGGCAGAAAAGTGTGGTTAATAGAATTGTTATTTTTCAAAAAACTCATATGCAGAATAGATATCAGAGTTATATTACATACTGGCAAATAAAGTGATGAAAAAATTTTATTGTTTCTGTTTAGTTGTTGTGATTAGAAGAAATTTTTATACTATATCATCTCGATTATGTAAATGAGACCTTTGTGCCCAAATATTAATTGTGATTACCTTAAATAGTGACATTTATACTTACTCTCTTTTCTTCACTTCCTTTCTTGTCCAAGCTTTCTATAATGAGCACACATGTAACCTAAAAAATTTTTTTGATTCTGTAATACTATGTTAGGGATAATAAATAGAAAATTAAATATTTATAATCTCAGATTTAAAAATATACAGCATAAGACAGAATATAATAATAGGGGATAAAGGATACTGACTATGAAATTAATATTGTAAAACTAATAATATATGAGGTTTTACAAAAGCAA